CATTTTGTCCAATAAATATTCTCTTATGAAACTCTTTCAAGATAGAAAGCATCATATAAAGTGATATTTCATTGTTTTAATAGATACATTTCTAATATATCCTATTTGATTGACCCTAACTTGATTTAAAAAAAGTTTGAGAATTTTCTGGATATTAGAAATTGCTGATTAATTCATTTTAACCTATTTAATTTTTTTCTTTTCTTTTTTTGTTTGAATTTCTATGAACAAAAAAAGAATTCCTTCAGGATCTTGTGGTTAAGTTGTTTCTGTTATTTCTATTTATTTACTCATTGGCTTTTTAGTCTATACAAACCTCAGTTAAAGTAAAGCCAGTTTAGAGACATTTCCCTCAATTTATTTAATAATATTTGAATTATTTTATTTTAACATAAAATCCTGAAATTCACAGAAAGGACTTCAATACTTTAAAAAAGTATATTTCAACATTAATTTATTTAATACATCTTTGTTATGTACCTATTTGGCTAGGGTTTATTGGTCTAGAGAAAAGAAACCCAGTTTAATATTCTTTTCAAAATAGAAAATCAAAAACTCATCTTTGCAAAACTACCCTTTGGGGTAGCCTCACTATGGAGGGCATAGAAAAGTAGCCAAACAGTTCTCAAAAATAATTCTCTGGAATTTTTCAGTCAAGTTGCATCTTCCATTTTTGTTTTAAATTATGATCCCAGATATTAGAGTTTTCACTTTTCTCTTTCACATTTGCCTTCAAATTTATTTCTTACTTTTTCCTATTACATAATGATTATTTCCATTTTAACTTATACTTCCCTACAACAAAAAGAATATTTCCATTTTTAACTAACACTGGTTGCCTAAATTTATAAACATGTCCAGGTGTTAATTTTTCCAGTTCCATTTTGCTATAGGAAATTTAGTTTCTTAAAAATATAGGGTCATTTCCTTATGCATGTTCCAAGCTTCTGAGTGATTTAACATAAAACACTTTTTAAAAACTTGATATTGAAATAAATAAATTTTATTGCATTTCACCCAATTGTAAGAAAATCTCAATCTTCTTTTCTCTTAGAAAAAAGATAATGACATTGCAAATGTTCATTACAGAATCTTCCCCTAAGTCTCAAGAGTACAGAGATGTGTCCCCTGGGTGGAAGCTCCCTGCTCTGAGGCAGAGCCCTTGAGCCAGTGGGAGCCATGGTGGGAACCAGGCCTGCGGTCCACGGGTCACCCAATCCTTCGAGACAGTACATTGACCGAGATTACTGTCCTGACTCTTCATGGGCCACGTGATTACTGAAGGAGTTCAAGAAATGCATCTTGTTTAAGTCATTAGTAAATATATGTGGAAGGAGGACAAAAGTGAGGATTGTTTTAAAAGTTTCTGATTTTTTTTTATGCTTGCTCAAATAAGTTATGAAATCTGGCCACTAGGATTTTGCAGTGACCTGAAATTCTGCAGACAGTGAGGGAATGATGAGAGGAAAATCTAAAACATTCAGATTAGCACTTCCTAATCACCTACATTTTATGTTGCCGTATCCAATATTGAATTACATTGCTATTTAATAGAATTAAAACTATAGAGAAAGTTTTTAAAAAGTTGGAGGCCAAAACCATCTTCTGTCTGTAGATGCTTTATTTAGCAATGACAATTAGCTAATTCTGTTAATGCATTGCAATTTTATGTAGAAAGCCTGTAACTGCTGTAACAGTGCACTTCTTTTCTCAAAAGTCTGTTTTTTTTCCTGAGTCTTTGCACTGGGGATGAAATTGTAATTATGCAATATATGCTATTTACATTAAAGACTGTTCAGTAAGTGGTCCTATGTAGTAGGCTCAGTTGGAACAAGAAAGAAAAATAAGAAATCATTTGGGCCAGTCATTAAGCACTGGCATCACATAAGTAAGGAAATGTTAGCAAATCATTTACATGATAATACAGTCTATTAAGATATTTATATAAATATAAAACTGGCCAATTTAGGAAATTACTCATATATTTTTATGTAAATGTTAGCTTTCAAGACAGGCTATGTATGACCCATGGACATGAACTAAGGTGAGGGAATGATGGTGGGGGTGGTACAGGGGAGAGGGGAATAAAGGGGAGAAAAAATGGGACAACTGTAATAGCATAATCTCTAAAATATATTTTTTTAAAAAGGCAGGCTAATGTACTAGATCATGGCTAATCAGGCCACAGGGTATTCAATAAACTGTTTATTTTGGATAGAGTGCATATTGATTAGAGAGGGTTCCCAGCATTCCCATATGATCACTCTGTTTCTCCTGCAGATACTGCTCAGAACTTCTAAAAAATGCAATTCCATAGTTACATTTTGAGTCACATCATCTGAAGATTTTGATTGTTGAACTTTATCCTCTGTTAGTCTGCCCAGAGATTTATTTTCTTTTTTCAATTTTAAAAGCTCTTAATGGGCATTATTGTTGATCTTGATTTTATAAAGTTGTAAGAAGACAATTGAAGCTGTATCACCACTAGTATGACTAAATGCTTGGTACAACATTTATTTTTTTTCTGACTTTCTAAACAAGACACATGGGTTAAATACATTTCTGGAATCAAATGAAAGCATCTACCATTGGCAGGAGCTACCAGTAAATAGATTACTAATTACTTGTCATTGTTAGGGATATCTCTGAAATGCAACAGCATTGACCATTTGGAAGCTGTCATTAATTGGCAAGTTATCAAATAAAAATTATTCTCATTAATTTTGGTTTTGTTAATCTCCTCCCCACAGTTGGAGGTGTCTGAGCAAGTGGTAGAAGTAGCATAGAAAATTAAAGCACTTTTTCCCTTTTCCCCACATGCATGACCAATAATTACCCCCCAGGGGCTCCACAGTCATTATGTTAGCAGTTTGAGCTTTTTAAAGTAAAATATGAAATGAAAAGAAAACACTAGTATTTTAAGCATCTACTAGTATCATAGATACTGTGTGAACTTTAGTATGAAGACTTGAAACCTCCATCTCAGTGGCACAGCTATTTCATTTATTTATTTCTGAGACTTAAATTGTTTAGCACAATATTTGGCAAAGCAGTATATAGGAACACATCCAGTTTAGAAAAAGGCAGAAACTGAGTAATCTTTTTATGTGCCTTAGAAGTTAAAAAAAGAAGAAGAAGAAGAAGAAGGCATGATTCCTGTGCCTCTTGAAACCTTACTAAAAACCGTGAAGTCAGCATTTTCTCTAATGTTTGATAAATTTTACACTTTGAGATGTATATATGGATCTTTCAGTTACACCAAAAAAAATTAATGGGGATAGGGTTCTAAGCAGTGTTTTCCAATCTGGTAAACCTGAAGGTATATTTAGTGAGTAGCTCTAGAATCACTCCTAGCCCCAAAAAGTTCATTTGGGGCCACACCCTCTTCCTTCCTCTTCTGGAGAACAATTTCATAGTGAATAACCAGAAATGGGGGAAAGGATGTGAATGGAGAAAAGTAGAGATATGTACAGGTTGTAAGTGTGTGTTTGACCTTCCTCCTGGGTGTGCACATATCTACATTTCCTAAACTCTTTTACTGAAAGCCAGCTCCATATCTTCTGGGTTACTATACTAGTTTTGCTTTATGTCCTAAAGGAGATTATTGTTGGGTCTATTAATTTTAATCAAAATTGAACTTTCTCTAAGATAAGTTGGGAGACAGATTCCTAGAAGCCTGATTTCAGGACTTCAGTGTGGTTTCAGTAAGTTTAGATCTACAGAATTTAGGCCACATTACATGCAGCATATGACCAGTATGACAACCTACAGTTGTCATATTGAAGACAGGACAAAATTATATCTGACATTTATTGAGTACTTGCAATGTAAAAGGATTATTTTAAGAAATTTTTATTATCTCATTTTAATTCTCGGAACAACTCAATGCTATTGTCGCTATTTTGTTGATGGAGAAACTGAGGCGCAGAGAAGCTTGTGGGCCCCAGGTCACACAGTTATCAAGCAGAAACACTGGTATTTGAACCAGACACACTGTTTAACATCATGTACTATTAACCACTATGAAATATTACTTCCTAAGTTTGGATATGGTAATATTTTTTAAATAACTTATAGCTTCCTAAATAATTCCTGACAGGTATGACAGTATTCAGGAAATGCATTTCTGCATTACAAACATTCCAAAAGCTAAATAAAATGCTGGTAACATTACCACTGTAATTTACCCAACTCAGGCAGGCTTACTAGTATAAGGCTCAGGTCTTTTATTAAAGGGCAATTTTAAATATATTTTATCAACAGTCTTGTTTGCTTACATTTGTCTGAGTTTTAATTATCAGAATTCTTGTCAAATCTCCATCTTGCCTATTTTCCATCTTGCTGGATATGCTGATCGATTATTATAAATTACTGCATACAATATAACCACTAATTATTAACCTTTCTTAGACATAATATGATGTCTATATTTTATTAAATATAATAAATAGCAATATTGATTTTGTAATGATTTAAGTTCTATTTTTACTTTTATTAAAGACATTTATTCTAAATCTTTAAGGCAGTCAGACTCTTATTTTGGCAAAAATCAACTTAATTTAATTTAGGCTGTGAAAATGTTTTAATTACTACCTGTTCCTAAAGGATTTACTTTTGATTTAGTTTCAGACAAATGGTGTCATCTTTCCTCTTTGACTTTATATGTCAAAAATAACCTATCGAGAAAATGTCTTAAGTAAACTCTGGGTGAGAAGCTTGGAGCCCTGCTAGCAGCATGAGATATCTGAGACCCTCATCATCACTTTCAGCTTCATTGATAAAAAGACTACTGGGTACATAGGTGCATGACTTTCAGAGTCTTTTTCATTTGTTTGTCAGTTTTTTAATAATCAATCTCAGCAGAAGAATTGCTATTTTAAATCTCTATTTTAAAATTACACCAGGTGAAAGTGTTTAATTTCACATGCATTATTAGAACACTTGTTTTATAGGTAAAGAAATGTGGAGAGTTGATTTTTGTTCCATTTTTATTTTTACAGATGTTCGAAGAAGAACAATTTATGAGTACCACCGAGTAGAGTTACAAATGTCAAAAATTACCAACATTTCAGCTGTGGAGATGACCCCATTACCTAGTAAGTTAAGACGTGAGCACACCTACTTGGAAAAAATTATCCACATGTTTAATGGTCTGTTTACCAATAATTATAGCATGGTGCTTAGCATGTGCAGGCATGTAGGGATGGGTGAGTTGTATTGAACACGCAGTCATTGTTGGGTTGTTTCCCTCCATGATCCCAGTTAGTCTTGATGACTCTCTCTTTCTCTCATTTCCTAGCCTGTCTCCAGTTTAATGGTTGTGGCCCCTGTGTATCCTCTCAGATTGGCTTCAACTGCAGTTGGTGCAGTAAACTTCAAAGGTAAACACAAATACAAACAATGTGAATTTTAAAAAGACTTGCCACTTCTACTCATCCACTGAATGTTAAATGTGTCAGGTGTGTTATGTATACATTAACAAGTGTACATGTGTAAAAAAATGTCATGACCAAATGAGAAAGAAAATGCTCACAAGTGGGAATTTTAATATTTTTTAGTACTTTCCTTTGTCTGGTTGCTCATAATTACCAAGGAATCCTCATAGTCAGTAAGATCATTCTCTGACACACATTTATAACCTTTATGGGGCTTTAGATGGATGATGATTGCAACTGATGAGTCTTTAAATTGATGCTTCTGGTCCATATTCTATGGAGAGCATGTCATGAGGTATCTTTAGTATAACAAGGACAATTTATTCTTAACCACTTGAACATTTTTTGAAAATCTTATAAATACCTCAAAGGTTACTGGCTAAGATGAGACATGTAGTCTGAGGCTGAGGAATAGAGTGACACTATCTGGCCCTTACAACAAAACATGTGGCTTTGGTCTGTGTTGTGTCTACTTTTGAAACTTAAGCTACGTAACTTGTCAAAGAGGGTTACTGATTTTCATGAGTGGTAAAGAGGGTTTTTCAGTTCCTAGTGCTCTGAATGACCATTTGTTAGAAATACAGAGTGCAGATCTTTCAGTGTGTTTTGGTATTTACTTAACCATTTGTGCATCAGTTATGTCCCAAGCACTGGGAAAGCAGCAGGGAATAATGTATACAGACATGCTGCCTGCCCCCGATGGAGCTTACAGTCTGAGAATAAGTCCACCTCTCACTTTCAGAGTCTGTGGTAAATCTGCTTCTTCCTCCAAATGAAGAATCAAATCTTTAAGCTCTAGTCAGTGCATATAGAGTAAGAGCTTTCTGTTGCAAGCAGTCTGTGTCTTATCACCTTGTCACAGCATTTGCTGTAATAATGACAGAGGCATGCTGAGGAATATTTTAAAAGTTATTCAAGTATAGAGAATAGAACACCAATTCCTTGATAACAAGCTTTAAGAAATATGTTTAACTTGCTAACTTGGGGGCACCCACTACATTATTCTGGATAGAACAGTATTATTTATCATAAGTTATGTTTTGTTTTCAGTTTCACATGTTGTTCTAATAATTTCCTTTGGGCAATGAATTTCAAATAATGAAAAGCAAGCAGGCAATTAGCCTTCTTACAAGTAGATTTTAACTAGCTGTATCTCCAGAGTGGGAAGAACTTCTATAAAGTCAAGGGTGTGTGGTTATTTATATTTATATTTTGCTGACATTTCACAAAAATTACATGCATGTTAGAAATTATTCCAAATCTGTAAGAAAATGACCACAGTCAATCTAAAGAGGTTGTGTTTTAGTACATATATTTAAGGAATAGTGAACTCAGACATGCAAAATGCCCAAAGAATAAAGTAGAAAGCTCTGGTTTAGGGCATAAATCTAAATCAAGGTCCAATTTAGTAATCAGCTCCTCTGGGAAGTCTCCCTAAACTACAAGCCTGTGTGCGGCATCCCACCCCTGTGCTTTGCCAGCATCCTCATCATTAGCAGTTAGCTCATTTGTCTATCTCCTTTACGGCTCTGGGTTTGTTAAGGGCGATTTGCCCTTTTATCTATAGCACCTATGAATGTACCTGGTGCTGCAGAATATAGATGAATGAATGAATGAATGAATGAATGAATGAATGAATGAATGAATAGGTTCCAAATAAAGAAATCATGATTAGATTTGTCTGGGACTGAAGGGTTTCCAGGGACTAGGGACTTGCAATGCTGAAACCATGAAAATCAGGGCAAGGTTGCCACCTGGGGTAATTAAAGGTTTGGGACATTAGTCTAGAAACCTACCAACCATTTCATTATGGTTTTTGAAATCGTATTGGTGGAAATACATGTTAAAGTATAAACAAGCAGTTTTAGTAATAAAAAGACATCCACAAATTGGAAACTGCTTTATACTGTTAATACTTTCTTTGTTTTGAGAGATTTCTCTGCCAGACATTGTGCCGTGGAATTTTCAAATATATTTAACTTGTGCAACATTTTGACAGTGGAGGAAGCTAAAGCTAAGTTACTTGTGCAGGGTCTCATTGCTCCTCAGTGTGAAGTTTAGAACTGAAGCTTAACCCCTGTGACAACCCTGCCTGAGGTCTTGACACCTCAGCTGTCATCCTCACACCTCCCAGGCTTCAGGAGCAAGTTAATCTTCATCACTGTCTAAAAAAATAGTAGACATACTACTGAAAAATAAATATTTTTATAATTGATGTTGCAAGAAAGTGAAAACATTTTATAGTCATAAATAAGATTGCAGAAAAGTCAAGCAAAGCATAAGATTATTGTATGTTATTGAAATTGTTTTTTAAAAATTAATAGAAAAAAGAAAGGTGGTGATACATATAAATGAGGAAGGAATTCATCAAAGAATGCTACTAACAAAATGTGACTTTTCTTCCTGTTACCATTTGATGTTTTGTTGAATCCTGGTTTAAAATCTTGGATTTGTTTTTAATTCTTCAGCAACCTTGTTATATACATATCAAAACCTGCCTAATTAATTGGTTTAACTATGGCTCATTGCACTTTTGTTCAACTTAATTTCCCCACTGCATTTTATTAATTTCTCCTTAGACCTGTGAGCTTCAAAACTTTGCTTTTGCTACCTGGAAGCATTTCCCCAGACCTTAGAGCTTTTGTTTACAAATTCAATAAAACAAGAAAAGTCTCATTCTTAACAGCACACAAGATGCCTTGCAGATTTTTCTTTTATCCATTTTACATCTCCTTTGTTCTCATTTATCCTTGAATGATAATCTGTTGGTAGTGATTATTGAAACTATCAAGGTGGGTTGGCACTAAAAAAGATACGTTTAATTGGTTCATTTCCTTTAATTCTCATTTTTAGGGAGCAAAAACTGAGGTAGAATTCGAGTACAAATGTCTGATTGGATCCTTGCTTTCATTTTTGTATTGTTAGTATGTAACCAGAAGTGGAATTGGTAGATCACATAGTAATTCTATATTTAATTTTTCTGAGGAACCTCATACTGGTTTCCATAGGGCTGCACGGTTTTACACTGCCATCAGCAGTGCACAAAGGTTTTTCAACCTATTATTTCCATTGCATTTCCCTGAGCAACCATGGCACCAAATGTTACTTTCCGGTGAATGACTGATTTTTTTTTTTTTTGCTGTAACAAAAAGAGAAAGTACCACATGTAATATATTTTTAAAATTTTGGAAATGTATAACTCAGAAATGCTGACTAATAATTCATTAATGCTGTGCAATGTATCATAAACAAATTAATCAAGAATGGAAGCCCTTTTTATAAAGTCATAGCTAGTTTTTGAAAACAAAACATACACATATTGTTGTGTGCTAGTTTAACTTACAGAAACAAAACTACCTAAGTTCTGAAGCAGAGTGAGATTGAGAGAGCAAATGTAAATAGTGCAGTGGATCCCACCTTTCCCCAATCAGTAATCTCATGTTCCTGAGAACAGCACCAATGAGGCTTGAATATACTTTCCTCCTATGGTCTTGTTCCTGTGGACCCTTAACAGTGACACATTTGCAGCACTGAGTTTGGCTCTAGTGTTTAAAGACACAGTGGGAATTTTTCATACGATACGGTCCTAAAAGAAGCCAACAACTTCATCTGGGGTCAACCCCCAACCCCACAGTCTATTTTCACATTGGAGGAAGAACTAGTTTTATCAAAAGACAGAGTGTCAGGCTCCTAAGGGGGGCTGTACTAAGGGAACTCCAGCATATTTTGACACAGTATGATTTTTGCCTATTCACTCACCAACTCCACTGTAATCCTTTGAGGGCCATGGAAAGCAGTCTGTTGGTCTGATTCAACTGTAAGTCTTAATATAGTCTCAAGATTCTAAGACTGAAAGGGGAGGATCAGAAACCTGCAATTGTTTAATGACAGGTCATATGCTCTTGGAATATATGACCAAGGCTGGAATTTTAAAAATTAAGGTAAATCAGTAGTTAGACTCAGTATAATTGCACTTGTTTAAATGTACCTTTTATATCCTGCACAGAGCTTTGAAGCTACCTGTACACTACCCATTTACATGATATTTTCATATAAGGAAACCCATTAGAAGCCACTTAGGAAATCTGGGATCCATCATTCAAAACTATAACCTTAGGCTTATTTTAATGGATTGGGCTAAGATAAAGTTGTGCTTGGGAAAGTACCTAATTTCAGGTGGTCAGTTAGAACTTAACAATGCTTTAAAAATTTTAAATAAACTGTTACTGATCTATGTTTCAAGTTGAAATCAACTCCATCTACTTATCAGAATTATAGATTAATAACATTTAATAGCCCAAAATATTACCATTTTAGTATATAAATTGAATATCAAACAGAAAAATATATTTTAGTGAAAAATATGAAGCTACTTATAACTCTAACAAAATCTATTTTTGTGTCTTTGATGAACTACTAGATCCAGCGTAAGTATTTAATTGAAGAAAAACAAATTGGAATGCCTTATAGTCAGGCTGCCTGGTCATGACAGGAAGAAGAGCATTGCTGTCATTTCTGATTGAAGGCATCAAAGAAACGTAGTTTCAGTCATGTACACTCAGCAACAGTGGGTGAACGGCACATAGGTCTGAAACTGTTGACCACACTAGCCCCATTCTAAACAAAATGAGATTCTTTCTCTTAAGTGTATTTTTATTAAGTGTATTGGGCTTTCTGCATCAAGGAGTACTAGCCAACCAAGTTTCAGGAGGAGCCCAGAACTAAGGAAGCATTCTTGCATTATTCAGAAGAAGCCAGAATTTCCAAACCCCATAGAAGAGAGGAGGCCATGTTTTGTTGTCTGAGGTGGAATGGACTGGGTGTCTGAAGACCTAGTAGCACAGCCAGCAATTAACTGACTAATCTTCCATAAACCAATAGAAGCTTTTTGACTCTATATTCTGAAATGTGAAATATGTGTCATCTAAATATATCTGATTTTTTAT